TATTTCAATATATTTTATTAAAAAAAATATATATATATATCAAATTTTTATTTAAAGCAATACATTATTATTACTGATCCTGTTTGATACATTTTGCTTTATTTCTAGCATTATGACCGGGTTCCCCACAAACTTTGCATATATATTTTCGTTTGCTTGTATTTTCGCCTATATCATCAAGTGCCATATGATCATTATCTTGTCCATGATTGCTAACATCATAGGCGTATAAAGGGATTCTTGATGAAGATTGTAAATTAGGATCAGGTGGATTAAGAGCACTAATTTTAGTGCTATGGTGTGCATTTTCTAATGCCGATTTGATACGTTTATGTGGTGAACGTCTACGCCATTTTCGAATCAAAGGATCAGACACGCTCAAATTTTCTTTATTTTCATCATTCGTATCATCGATATCATTTTTCTTACAATTGATGAATCCATTAACCATATCAATAAATTCAGTTTCACAACCTAAATCCAGCGCCAAATAAAGAGCTTTTTTTATCTTTCCAAATCTATATGCATATTTTTCTTTTCTTTGTACGCTTTGTTTAACATCAGCTGTGAATGTATCTGGTGCTCTAAGCTGATTAAGATATGTAAATCGGCTACTAATAATTCGTGATTACCATTACTATCTTGTTGGAATTGTGTTTCTATTTCCATACATTTATATTGCAAATTATTTTGATCATCTCTATCTTGAATATCTTCTAGATACCATCGCTTTGCAATAAGATGTATGTTAAATTTTGCGACCTTAGAATTCATCATCATATGGAAAAAATGCAAACATACAAGTCCGCGATTAATTATAGCCAAACACGTGCATAAATGACCACCATCTATCAGTAAAATAACATAATGCTTATATGATTTGGTAAGACCAGTAAGTTCCTAAATTTCTATGATATCAGATAACTGGATTCTTTCCAATAGGAAAAAAATGGATGTTTGCAGCTATAGATGAGGAACGAAACCCCTTAATAACAGTCGAAACAGTCGAAACTATATTAAAATTATAATAAGAGATACGATGAAATCCATTCGATACGACGAAAGCTGAAACTGTTGAAACTATATTAAAAACATAGAAAAGGGTGTGACGAAATTATTTTGAGGAGGTTTCGGCAGACATCTATATTTGCAGCCTATCTAATTTATCTTCAAGGAATCCATCGCCATAGTTGTGCTGATTGTTATCCTAATGAAAAATTTATAAGTGTCAAGTTTTCCTATCATCTAATTTTTAATCCCGTCCCTAACCTTACCTTTGCAATATCGATTGCTTCTTTCAAAATAATTTTAGCACGGTTTAATAAAGACCCGAGAATTTGTTGATGTTAGACTAATAGGATATGCAAAGTTAGATAACGTTTCATTAATTTATTAATATTGGAAAATATGGGATCGATAATTAATGGTGTCTGGTTGGTTGGAAGACTATAAAGATATGTATTATGCTGAGCCTATTTTGCTTCATCGTCTAATAATCTTTGTTTGATTATGTAAGTTACATAGCGAAGATGAACTATTAGCACCTTCTTTAATCAAACGGTTCATAACTTCGACCCTTTATGTGCTTTGAATGCCAGCCGTAAAATTTTTGAATTGATAGCACTTGGCCTATGACTGATAAGAAGTATTTAAAGTTCTATTAAGATAATCTTGACCCAAAAGATACTTTTCGATCAATTGTGTCCAATGACGATAAAAATCATCCTCAAATAAACTGTTTTGAATATATAAAAAATTTTTATAAAAAGATTTGTAATCTTGTCCTAATTTGCTTGCCAAATTTATTCGTAGGTTTTCTTGTATGTGGAAAATACAAAGAAAGTGGTGAGTATTAGGCATCTTCGATGCCACTGCCTTCATTAAAGCAGGATCAGAATCTGAAAATAAACAAGTAGGTGGAATATGATTAGTTGCGTGAAGAACACAGTCAAGGAACTATTTATAGCTTTCAACTGTTTCGTCTTCTGACAAACATTGAGCAACAAGACGACTTTTGATGTTATTATCCACAATAATTAGCATTGTTAAATACATGTCAAACCAGTTAGCTTAACACGTATTATCCATTTGTATCACATCGTTATAGTGTATAAGGCATTGATTCTGACTAGGCGACATTCAAAACAGACTTACAAATCAGTTATCAAAATGATCAATTCTTGTGTGAATGATCCATCCGGGTTCTTGATCTTTTAAATTAAGTAATGTATTGATCATATTTTGTGCATCTCCATGTCGAATAGTAAATGGGACTTTAAACCTTTGAATTGCATTGTGAAGATCCCTTTTATGAATATATTGATCTGGAAAACTTGCAACTAATAAGGGATATATTTGTTTTGAACCCATATTTCCTTTGGTAACATAGAATTTGATCCTTTCCATTATATCATCTGAAAGACAATGGTACTTAGGAGCATATAAATATGTGTCGGATATCATAAGATGATTATGTTATCCAATGATGCTGATGATGACTTCAGATTTGTAATATTAATTTGCTATAGGCACATTATTTTTCTGGATGGGCGCTGCCATTGGTGATTTATATCAATCACCAGATTAGAAATTGGTTTACTGAAAAAACTGCATTCAAATGTACGACGTTAAACTATCCCATCATTATCAAGCTCAATATGCTTCTGACGTATAGAAAATCCTGCCATTTTTGCATATAGATTGAACTTTATGTTCACCTCATCTCATGAAGAAAAAGTATCACCAACATTAATTTGTACTTCATTTTCAATTTCTTTTCTAGAAGTATCAGATTCTTTGACAAGAACAACGGAACCTCTGGTATCAGAATCATCCTCAAAAACAACCGATACTTTAGCAAATGTAGCATTAGAATTTTTTGCAAAGGATATAAAACCTTCAGCAAAGGCAACAGAGCCACTAGAATTTCTAACGAAAGCAACAGAACCTTCCGTAAAAGCAGCAGACTCTTTTTTTTCGCTTAAATAAGTTTGATTGTCTTCGGTAAAAAAAAACCATAAATCATAAACTTCTATACAAAAGTCATAAGAAACAGCAAGACTTATGAGAGTTTACATTTACCATCTATAGTGGTAAAAGACGTAAATTAAAGACAAAGGACAAGGAAAAAAAAGCTTAAAATTTAGAAATCCATGTCAAAGCAACTTTCTAAAGAAGTTCCTTCTCCTTAAATTGGTTTTTCCGTTATCATTAATACAAAAAGAATGTATGTTAAATTTGCAAAAGAAAAGTAAGCGAAAAGAGCAGCAAATATGTAACACTAGCAAATATGTAACACTTTTTTTTTATTTGTCTATTATTGTATCACGTGTCATACACGCGATGTTACATAAATATTATTGTCACGTGATACCGATGATAATCATCCCTGGTGATTTTAAGTAAATACCTATAAAAAATATAGATATATTTGATATTTTTATATTTTTTGAATTAACGTTAATTCAAGAATTTTTATATAAAAATTTATAAAAAAATAGCCAAAAAATATTTTTTAAGTTTAAAACTAACCTTTCTTATTTTATTAAGTGCGGCAGTCTTGTATGATCTTTATTAATATTTATGAATTTACAAAGAAAAACAAAATAAGACAGAAAATACAAAAATATCTATAAACTAATTTAATGAACTAAACTACTTTATTAATATCAACCTTGCACTTTACCAAACTAAACTGTATATCAGAAAAGAAAAGAAACTAATCTATACTAAATATAGATATTAAATGTCCAGAAGGGAGGGCATAGTTACTGCTGTATCAGAAATTTGACCAGTGAGTTCCATAGGCGATAACCATTATGAATAATGAAGGATTGGGTGGTTTTTTATATTAAATGTGAGAAATCAGAGGAAACTCAGGCTATAGTAAAGTCATCTTTGATGTTGTTTAACGTTTTTCATAATTGTAGTGAATTACATCTGTCTAGCTAGATATCATGGACTTAGGAAAATATATCATCAAAAATGGATAATAAACTAAGAGTGAGTTATTTGTTCTTTGTGATGACGTCGATTGATAATGAGAAAGATGAAGGAATTATCCTTTTAAAAGGTTGATAAAATATAAATTATTATTATTTGAGTTGCAATCCCATATTGAAGACTGATTCATATAGATGATAGGTGTATCATTATTAGGTCTATTGAATTCTTTTAAATGAGATATAAATGAACATTTGTATTCTTATATAATAGTTGTAAAAAATTTAGTATTGTTAGAACAGATCCAAATGTGATTAAAGTCTTCAGAAACTAAGTGGCAATAGAAACAGTTATTTGAGAGATAGGTTGAGAATATCGAGCATTCATTACTGCCAAAGTGGGAAGTAGTTATAAAAGTAATTTAAGTTTAAACTGATTTCTTTTATAAGCATCAAATGATGTGATCCTAACATTTTCTAAGTTATTAAAAATATAAAATAAGGTTTACTAATCAATATGAAAATTGCTATATTTAGTAAGGTGTAAAAGAGTCAAGGAAGCTTCAGCCCAAGTGGCTTATTATAGGTGTTTAATAAATAAATGAGGTGAAGTAATGATTGGTGTGCTATTGTGACATAAAATATATTTAAATTCTAGGTAATTAATGTTGATGTATAAAGGAGTATTAGTAACTTGTTTTGCCAAGAGATTAACTTGATTGTTGAATTAATCATTTTTGTAAACTTTAACATTTGTGAATGTTAATTTGATGTTGTGTTTGGTTATGAGATATAACATAGTCATTTAAATATAAAAGTAAGAGATCTTGAATGCAGGATTGAGAGAAGGGGAAACCTTACAGAGCTTGGTAATTTTATTATATAATGCGATTGTAGCTTATAAATCAGTATAGATTTTAATATTAGCATTATATAATAACGTATAGACAACAGTGAGAATAGCAACTATTTCTGCTAATATTGAGGAAGAAGAATGTAATACAAGTGTGACAGTAAATGAAAATAAAGGCTAATTTTAGTCAGTCTATAACTACGTGATATCCATCTGGCAGTTAGAAGATCCTAAGGATGTAAAAGAACCATCTGTATAAAATTGGAAAAGTAAGCATTAGTAAATTGTAATTTAAGTTGATCTAATCTATTGATTGAAGATTGGTCAAAGGAGAATCATTAAATTTGACAAAGGTTTAGTTGGGTATTGATAAGGAAGGTTAAGGTTGATAAAACTATTTCTTAGAGCGTAAGATGAGAAAAGCTACACCATTATCTTTTACAAGGTTTGTAAAACTCTTTAAATACAGAACAATATATCTTCAGGTAATTGATAATGCAGAAACTATGTCTTTGTTGTTGTTTATATGGTATAAAAGCAGAATAAATAAAAGGATTATATCTAGTATAAGGAATAATAGGTGTCTAGTGACACTCTGAATATATTGGCAAATAATGTTGTACATGTACAATAGTGTCTTCTTCTTTGATTACTTTTCTCAGAATGTAGGTCATATATTGATTGAACCAAATGATCACAAAAGTTGGATTAGTTGCTAATGTTATGAAATTAGTGGATTGAATCAGTACTTTTATTAGAGATATATGAGAAAGGCATCTAATAGACATTTATCTAGTGTTATTATTGTTAAGGAGTTTTGATTTCAGTTGAATAAACTATTTAGTACTATGGAATATAGAGTCATAGATCATATTAAGATCAAAAGTAGTGAACAAGTTAAGACCATCCATTGTTAAGAGTTAGTCGATGTATAAAATTGATAGTGTACGTAATCTTAAAACATTTTACCAGTAAACTTTTGGAGTAAAAATTCATGAGAACGGAATGACGTCACCTTCAATTTGTCTTAAGTAGTAGTTCTTATCAATATATTGTTGGAAGATAATATCATTATGCTTAACGGTTAAAACTAACTTTTCTATTTTGGTAATTTTTATGATGATCGATTTTATACCAATCAAAATTAATAATTATGTAATATTTCAAAAATGATTGTATTTTAGTTTTTGATATCATTAGATTAAAATGCATTAAGCTTTTAATATTAGTTAAAATTTCTCAGAACCTGATTTTCCTAGAAATCCTCCCATATAATGATTTTGTTATTCTATCAATCTAACTTGAAAATATTGCTCAATTCTTTTCCAATAAGGATAGATTCAAAAGATAAATTACGACTTTAAGATGTAACTAAGGTATCAAGTAAGTTAGTAAATATTCATTATATTATTTATAAAGTTTCTTGAAAAAATAAGAATTTTTTTTTTGTTTGGATTGCCTTTACTTTAAAAAAATTTTTTGAAGATAATGTGTATGTGAATTAAATCATGAAATTTTCAAAATCTTTTGTTATCTTAAGAATAATAGACCTTTTTTAGTGATGCAAATTTTGTAGATTCGAAAAGAAATTCAGGATATTTACAAATCTCTTCAAAGTAATAATTTCTTAAATCTTCAAAAGTATCATAATGAAATATGATTCGAAACTTCCAACGGGTTTATTTCTTAAATATTTAGCTGAATATTTGATCAAATAAGGTAGCTATTACAATAAAAAGTTATAACTTACCAACTTACCTTTCTTTTTGCTTTGATGAGTATATTTTCAATATTTTTGATTACAATTTGCCCTTTATTGACATATAATATATATATATCTATCAATATTGTTATATCAATGACGTATTTTAAAAGAATTTATTATCATTTAAAATTAATTAATTTTTAAAATTAAAAGAATATTCAAGATATTCAGAATGAATTAAAAATATTATATATGTAAATATATATTTTTTAATATTGTCTTTGATTAGATATTATAATGCTCTCTAATTTGTGCTATAAATAAATCTTTGCTTTTGAAAGCCAAATCAGAATCTATAAATGGCTTAAACTATTACACAATTTTAAACTTTACTGCGGTAAAGATTTCTATCATCCATAACAATTCATGCGTTAAATATATTTTATAATAAACTCAGAAAATATTTATCCATTTATTTTTTACCACTTATTCTACAGTATATGAACATTTATAATTTATATTGAAGTCTATCTAAAAACTTCAAATTAAATATTCCTAACAAAAGTTTACACTTATTAACCACATGGATGAATAAGAATCCAATATTAAAAAAAACATTCATTTATTAATCCTCCTAAATTTTCATCATCCTGATCAAATACATCGCTGTAATCACAATTAGAATTCCCAATAACTGTTTCTACATGTTTAATGTTTTTAGATTTGTATGAATTATATAATCTTACAATTATATTAATAATATTAATAATTAAATTTAGGCAAGATGATAAAAATGATAATAAGAATATTCCATAATAATAATGGATGTAATATGAATAAATCTTTATTAATAATAAAAATAAATATAAAATTAATTTAATATTTAATTCGATAAAAAAAATGAAATTAAAATAAATGAAGAAAAAAAATATATACCTGGATAAGTAGGATAAGTACTTGAGGAATTTCTTTGAAAAATAAATTAAAGAAATTTCCAATGATAATTGTATTTAAAGTTTTTTCAGAAAATTTAGCATTAAAAACTTCATATCCTCCAATTTTTGATTCAAATAAAGTTAAAACTTCAATATCGGCTCTTGCTAATAAAATGATTAATGATATTTTTTTCATATTATTTTTCGACCATTCTAAAAATTCCTCATTTTTTCGTTCTTTCATTATAATTGAAAGTATCCATCCTAAACTTACTATGAATTGTAATAAAAATATACTTATAGGAAATTTTTATTATTTTATTATTGTAAGTTTATACTTTTTTTTAGAAATTTATATAGAAATGTTTTATTTACCTTAGGATAAGTATAAAACTAATGTCACTTCCTGTATTACTAACTAAAAGATAAAGAATATAAATAACAGTGTCAAACGTAAGATTTAATTGTAAAATCTTAATATTCTTTGCCTAATTAAAAAAAAATGATATTAGCATTTGATTTATTTTAGTCAAATTATAGTCATGATAGTTACCTCACTATTTTTACGTTTAACCCACAAGAAAAGTAAGGCCAGTACGCACACGTATATTATTACTACAATGAGATATGTCCACCACGGAGTTATCACG